ATTTAATTCTCAAGGGAAAAAAAGTCACCAATTTATTATCCATTCTTTCTAGCTATTTTCTTTCTTCACCTCCAGAAAACATCATTTAACTTTTGGAAAAATATGAAGGGTACTATATAAATGCAGGTTGCTATAACACACAGTTGGCTGGATATTTCTCAGCAATGGGTTATATTTCCCTGCAGGAAGGCTGCAGCTGGAGGGAAAAAGAAACAACATTAGTGGAAGAATTTGGAGCAAAGGGAATTAAAATAAATCCCTTCATAGTGACAACATCCTGACTGCTACGCAAGATCAGCAATTTATTGCAAAGGGTGCTTACACTGCATGTAACAGAAAGGGCAGACTATTTTGTTGGGGATATTCATTGGGACTATTCAGATGGAGGGAATCACAACTGAATTCGTCCTTCACACCACCCCTCCACCCCACAAATGCTGATCACCTCTAAGAACATTTCATCATTTCTGTGTTTTTACTTCCTATACTGAAAAGGCTGAACCTGATCAATTGCCTTCATTAATAGATCCCCTGAAGCATACATGCTGAACTTAACTGTCAGAATTAGGGTCCATCCTCGCACTGGGATAATGCACAAACAATACATTGAGGTATACTTTATAAATCAGTGAACCTGTAAAGCTGGAAAGTCTTGCTGGACAGTTATTGTCCTGACTTGGTGTTGGACATCCGACCTCTCCTGAGGCTGCTGTCTCAAACCCCTACTCTCGCACTTCAACACCCAGACTCACCAAAAATTTATCCAGACAATGCCAACAGACTACTTGATCATGAGTAGTCAGCATCATACCTATTCTGTATTGTACAGTGACAGATCTATGCCATAGAACTATAGGAACAGGAAGAGGCCATTCAGTCCCTCAAATCCATTTGGTCAATGAGATCATGGTTGAACTGTGACTTAACTCCCATTTACCTACTTTTGTCTAATATCCCGTAACACCCGAGGAAAACAAAAAAGAGAACAATCAGATTCAAGTTTTGAATTTACAATTGATCCAGCATTAATTGTCATTTATGGAAGTACCAACTCTCCACCACATTTTGTGAATAGGTGTGTTTCCTAATTTCATTCTGGATAGATCTGCTTTCATTTTTAGACAATAGCTCTCTTAGTCCTAGACTCCTCATCCTCCCAAAAGTCAGACATCACCAAGTTTCAGTCTGAAAGTTTATTTGACCTGACGAAGGAGCAGCGCTCCAAAAGCTTGTGATTTCAAATAACCCATGAACTGTATGTTCATGTTCAAATGGACTGTAACCTGGAGTCGTGTTGACTTCTGACCTTGCCCCCCCCCAGTCCAACACCGGCACCTCCACATCATGGCCTGCAGAAAACGTTCTTGGTTTCTCTCAGTCTCTCAATGAAAAATATTGTCTAAACACAAGTCAGGAAAGTCTGACCAGACTGGTACCATTTTCACTGGAAGAGGGCATGATCTAACAGGTTTTCAAAATTATGAAAGGGTTTGATAGGGTCAATGTAAAAATTAGCTTACACTTTTGGGGAGAAGCAGAACTAGGCCATAAGTATAAGACAGTCACCAATAAATCCAATTCACAATAAACATCTTTAGATTTGCTGAAAAAGACATTATTTTGATAAAAATCAAAAGAACTGTGGAGGCTGTAAATCAGAAACAAAGACAGAAATTGCTGCAAAAGCACAACAGGTCTGGCAGTATCTGTGAAGAGAAATCAGAGTCAATGTTTCAGGCCCAGTGACGCTCCCTCAGAACTCCCTCCAGCAACTTCTGTTTTTGTTTCTGATATTATTTTGATGTGTTCGTGACGATGCTGTCACTTTAAAAAGGATATTTGGTCGGGGTTTTTCTGAAGAGAGGTTGTAAAGGCAGAGATGCCAATATATATGGCCTAAGTCAACAATCAGAGGAGGCCTTTAGATTTTTTTTTAAAACAGTTGTAACAATGGAAGGGGAGTGGCCAGTTCCCACAGATCAAGCTTTCTAGTTTTTTTAAAGCTGTAGCAGTCAGCAGCTGTCTGGGTCCCAGAAGAGTTGGAGCTTCAATAAAATGATTCCTTCATTCTCTGAAATCTCTCTTCATGTTGTTTCCTCCTGGATTGGAGAATTGCCTGTAAGAATCTGTGTCTGAATTTACCTTTTTGCCAAGGGGTGTATTTATGGGATGTTACTATATTGGAACAGTTAGTTAGTAATAGGTACTGTACTTATTATTTAGTTAAGTTTTCCAATTGTTAAGTTATTCTAAATTCCGTTTTCTTTTCTTTGTATTTAACAATAATGTTTAAATTAATTGTGTTTTGCTTAATGTTGAATAGTTTAACCAATTGCATCACATCTGGAACACACACTTCACATTTACCTTCAAAGTAAGAAAAAGCTAGTGTGCAGCTACATTCTTATTTTGAGGAGGTCTGGTCTTGTCCGGAACATTTTGAACAAGCTGAAAACCATTAACAAAATGTGTTTATTATTCAGCAATACTGGCTGGTGAGTATTGAACTCAATACCACAGCATGAGGTTGAAGTGAACTGCCAAAAGATATATTTACACCATAACTCCAGACACTGAACAGGGAGCTCAGCAAGGACCCACTCCATCCAGTGAGGGATACACAGACCTTTGCACTGCTAACATCATGGTTGCAATTTAAGAGGAAACTGGATAAACACAAGGGGGAAAAGGATAGAAGGATGGGGTGATGGTATGGGATGAAGACAGGGTGGATACAGCTCGTGTGGAGCACAAACAACAGGATGAATCACTTGGGATGAATGATCAGTTTCTTTGCTGTAATTTTTTTTTACATGTAATTCTACCTTAGTTTTATTTTGGAACACTCATTGCAGAGTGAGAATAGAAATTGTGCTCTCATAACATGACATTGCCCTCACCGCTGAGCCTCTGGCACTGTGAATACTGATGGGTTTTCTTTATTTGATCATGGGATGTGAGCATCACTGGCAAGGCCAGCATTTAATGTCCATCCCTATTTGCCAAGATAGCAGTTCAGAGTCAACAACAATGCTGTGGGTCAGGAGTCACATATAAATCAGACCAGATGAGGATAACAGATTTCCTTCCCTGAAAGGATTCTAGTGAACTAGCTGGGTTTTTTTAAAATAAATCGACAATGGTTGTATCATTGCCATTAAACAAGTTTTTTGTTCTAGATTTCTTTTGCTGGATTAAGAATCTTTTTTAATTCAGCAAGGTCGGACTTGAACCCATTTGTACAGTGCAAGCCTGGTATTCTGAAGTAAAAGATTTTCAGGGGGCTTGATGGAGTAGATACAGAAAGGTTGTTTCCCCCTTGTGGGAGAACCTAGATCCAGGGGGCGTAATTTCAAAATAAGGGGTCACCAGCTCAAAACAGAGAAAAGCAGGAATGTCTTCTCTTAGAGCGCAGTGAATCTGTGGAATACTTTACTGCAGAAGCTGGATCATTAAGTATATTTGAGGCTGACATAGACTTTTAGTCAGTAAGGGGATCAAGGTTTGTGGGGAATAAGGCAGGAAAGTGGATCGGCAGATTATCAGATCATGTTGACTTGCTGGGTTAAACGCTCTTTCTGCTCCTACGTTTCATAGTTGTCCAGCGGCATTACCACTCACTAGCACCACCCCAAGCCATGTTGTTACCATGGTTTTTTTTCATCAATTGCATTAAAACAGTAACAATTCTGATTTAAAATATAGTTCTTTCAGGATAGGAAAAAAAGGGTTGCATTGAGACACTTCAATGAACGAATTCAATTCAATAGATACCTGGCCAAAAGATGAGGATCTATTATAAAAACCGAAAGAACTGAGGATGCTATAAATCAGGAACAAAAACAAAGTTGCTGGAAAAGCTCAGCAGGTCTGGCAGCATCTGTGAAGAAGAAAAATAAAATCAGAGTTAACGTTTCGGGTCCGGTGACCCTTCCTCGGAACAGTTCTGAACTGAGCTTTTCCAGCAACTTCTGTTTTTTTTCATGGGGATCCATTATTCTGAACAGGGCTGCAAACAACTTTAAATCCCTGGGTTAACAAAGTGCAGCGAGCAGATTGACGGCTTTCTCCAAATGCCTGACTAATTTTACACTAATGCAGTGTGAAAGGAACAGCTCAAATTCTTCACTACATTCTTCAGAATCGACAGAAGCTTGCTTCACAGCTCAAGACGTTGCCGGGAGCAGATAAAATAAGGGAGTCGACAATCACTTGTTATTCCGAAAATGCATTCTGTATCTGAACCTGAAAACATCCCTGAGGCAGTTCACAGAGGCTAGGTTAGGAAGTTACAGTTCGCTAACAGAAAGTTGACTTTCTCACAACCAGGAGCTTCCATGCTCTGGAAACCAAGGAAATAGCGAGTGAAGAGGTAGGGAGATGAAGGATTGGGTCTTCAGAGAATGTCATTAGGAAGGGGGAAAAATCCATCAACAGTGTAATTGGATCTTGAGACGGATAAGAGATCGTTATCACGTAGGATAGGACAATGCAATTGCTTTAGAAAGAGAGTGAATTTCTGACTGAATACAACAGTAGAATTCACTAATCCAGATTATATATTTTGCTCAAGTCAATTCGACGCAGAACTGAATTTAAAAATAATCCCAGACGGACGCAAACGGGAACACTTGTAGCACAGCAATAAGCAGCAATTTAAAACTATTGTTTGGAAGGAATGGGGGTGGGGATGGAGGTGAGAATTTAAAGTTATTTTCCAACACCCTGGCCACTGGAACCGAATTGATGGAAAACAAACTCAGTATTACCCTTTTACATTAAAATCATCTCAGTTCTCAATCTCAAAATATTTGAAGGTCCAAAGAAAGGAATAGTGAGAATAATTATCTACATACACCAATACCCCAAAAATATTGCAAATTGAGAGAAAGGGGAGTGATTTTTTTTTAAAAATGTATTAAAAGTAGGAGTTCTCCCCAGGTCTGGTCAGTCCCGGTCATAGGGTGACTCGCGTTAAAGCTCTGCTTGAACATACTTACCCAGCATGGAGAAGATAAAATCCTTGGCGGTGTGGATTTCGAGGGCTCGGTGGTCGTCATACTCCCGCTGATCCTGCTTACTGAACTCCCGGATCAGCCTGTTCAAGTCCTCGATTCTAGCTCCAGACCTGAAGTCCAGTTCCACCGATGTTTTGGCCACACCAGAGCAAGGCTTGGTGCCTGTTCCGTTCGCCGCCATCTTCCAGCAATTTTATTGGAGAGGGGAGGGGATGGTGTGTGAAAGGGAGAGGGAGAGTGTGAGAAAAGCATATGACAGAGCCTGGGCTGATTTCACATTCTCTCCTTCCTTCCTTTCTTCTCTCTCTCTCTCTTTCCTTTTTTTTGGTTGCTGAGTGTTTCCAGGAAGCGCTGTACGAACCGTAGTGTGTGAGAAGCATCTAGTCTACAGGCATGGCCTCTCTGATGAATGAAACCCACATGGGAATTGGCTATTGAAACTGACCTCGAATCAACAAGCGTGTTACAATGTTGCATCCACTACTCTTAAAGCGACCACCACCCTCTCACCGATCAAATCCATTCAATCTCCCACCCTGCTAATCCCTTTCCTTTTTAAAATAAAAGATAACGAGAACCCCAAAAAACGTATCGGTTTGATGATTTGTATTTTTTTTAATAATGATTAAAATGCAACAAGTCGTTTTTAACCGTCAGTAATTCACTGATTTGCAACATTGGTTTTTTTTTAAATGGCTTGTGAAGAGGGGTTAGATATGTGAGATTTGGGGTAGCAGATATGATTGAAATAATAAGATCTGGAAAAAAAACAGAAACGGCTGCAGATAAACAGCAACTATGGCAGCATCTGGTTCCGATGAAATGTCATATTATACTGGAAACGTTAACACTTGTTTCTGACTCCACAGATGCCGCCATACCTACTGAGTTGCTCCAGCACTTTCTGTTTTTATTCAGTTATTTGATGGCATAGCACTTGAGTATTGCTGAAAAAAAGACACATTTTTGTCAAAGATGTTCATCTCACACCCATCAGGACAGTTCACAATGCCTGGAACAGGGATAGAAAACATTATTTCCCCTTTACATTGGTGCTCTGACAAAATATTTCTTCTCTCTGAGAGTATTCAGCCCCAAATTTAATCAGTCTATCCATAGCACCATTGCAAATGCAAACTTCCACTTTCAGAAGGTGGGTCTCACTGGCAACACCAGCATTTATTGCCTAACCCCTGATTACTCGAAACTGAATTGGCTGCCACTTTACAGGGTGGCACCTGTTACAACATGGAGACACCCTGCAGAACCAAATCAGCCTTTCTACCACTGTATTCACATCACATAAAACTAAAATGTCGAAAGCCTCCAATAGGCACTGCAGTGTTTCCTAACCAGACTTTTGAATAACCAGTCTCAGACTTTGCAAACATTAGTTTCCATCTTAAACAAAAGACTTAACTATTTGTTAAATATATAATACCTTTAGCAGGGAGAAATTTAAACACAGTAATCTAATTGATGTCTGTGCTTTAAATCTGAAACATTTGTTTTCATCCCCCATGAACACAAAAGTCAGACAGACAAACAAACACACTCAATGGATAACTAAAAGAAAATACAACTGAACAGATACTTAAGTTGCTTTCATGATGCATTGTTCCACAGGCATAGACGTATACTCTTTGGTTGCTTTTCTGGAACTGGCAATCTTTTCACTTCACCCAGCCAAAAACAGCAATACTTCTAACTCGGCTTTCTACTCTTTGGGCTTCCAAAAGGTGGTGTAGTAAAATAAGCAGAGAGCTTTTAAATCTTCATGCTGTCTTGTCAGCAGACAAGTTTGTGTCCTACAAAAATGCAGTTCTAACAAAACCAACTTCAGTTCTTGTTCTGCTCTAGTGGAGTGATAGTCCTTTCCTGAGGCCTCAGTTACCATTCAACAACTGCCATCATCTTGAAGATAAAGGTCTCTTCCAGACTTGTCAGAACCAATTCCCAGGCACTGGCCTCAGTAAAATAGCCAATTTCTGCTATCTGCTTAAACACAATGCTCTTTCCAAGATTGTTGTAACTGTAGGAACCATTTTAATTAAGTTCAGTCTGCAATTAGCCTCCATATCTGGCTACACAAATAGACAATGATTGTTTGGTCTGTTCTTTTCCTTTTACCACAAGCTGTTTCAAAGTCAGCCTCAGGTAACAACTCACAGTTCACAGCTCCAAACCAAAATTGTTTAGAAAAAAAAAAACAAAAACAATATAAAAAAAGAATAGTGACAGTTCAAACACAGCCTACATTGTTGAGGGGCTGGAATCACATATTAGACCCAGACTGGGCAAGGACCAGAAATTTCCTTTCCTAAAGGATAGTAAATTTCTAACAGAAAATTCATTGCATAAAGCAAATGAAATAAGAAGTCTTGCTTTTCAATTGAAGCTTTCACAACTTCAGGGTAAAGAAGTCCTGATCCAACTCGCAGGAAGTGCAAACATCATCTTTTCAGAGCAACCAGAAAAAGCAATAAATGTTAGCCTTGCCAACAATAACACGTCCTGAGAATTAATTGAAATAAATGTGACTATTCTTCCATTTGAAGTTAGCTTTCATCCTTCCCACTCTGTACCAGTACTTCCTACAGAGAGTTAGCACACTGTCACATCCTGGGCTCCAATGGAGATTGGACTGAAGTTGCACTGTCACTTTGAGGATCTATCAGTAAGCTGAAATAATTCTTACTGCACCAAAAAAACACAACAAAAAAGACAAGCCAATTTGAGTTTGTAAAATACCTTTCACAACTTTGACATTCCAAAGCACCTTATTGCAATGGAACATTTTTTGAAGTGTATTGTGTGTTATAAAATAGGAGTCATGGCATTCAATTTGTGCCCACAGACAACAATGAGATAACAACAAATTAATTTATCTTTGTGATGTTGGTTGGCATCATAGAATAGTTCAACACTGAAATATACCTTCTGGTTCAATAAGTCAGTTTCAGTTCTTTTGAAGAGCAATTGAATTAGCCTTGTTCTTTGCCCACATCCCTGAAATTCTTTGCTCCTTTGTCTTCTGCTCTCTCCATAGTCCCAAACTTCCACATCCCTGTAGCCCTACAGGCCAATAACCATCGAAGATAATTATGCTCTCCAATGCCTTTTTTAAAATTCATTCACAGGATGAGGGCATCTCTGGCAAGGCTAGCATTTGTTGCCAATCCTTAATTGCCCAGAGGGCAGTTGAGAGTCAACCACATTGTTGAGAGTCTGGAGTCACATGTAGATCAGACCAGGTAAGGACACCAGTTTTCTTCTCTAAAGGACAATAACAAACCAGATGGGCTTTTCTGACAATCAGCAATGGTTTCATGGTCATCATTAGACTCCTAATGCCAAATTTCAATTGAATTCAAATTCCACCATCTGCAATGGTAGAATTTGAACCTGGTCCCCAGAGCATTACCTGGGATTAACAGTCCAACAATAATACCATCGGACCCCTGCTGCCTCTTGCACATTCCCAATTGTCATTATTACATCACTGGAGGCCATGTTCCAAGGTGCTAAGCTCTACAGTTCCTTCCATAAACCTGTCTACCTCTCACCCCCACCTTTATGATGTTTCTTAAAATCTCTGAAAGAATAGATATAGGTTGCAACATCAAGGGGGAGGGAAGACAAGGGCTGCAGAGGTTTGGATCTTCTACTTCCAAAGGCAATGAAAATCTCCTCTTCATATCCACAAACAAACATTCACACCCTCCACCACTGATGCACAGTAGCAGCAGTGTGTACCATCTAGAAGATGCGCTGCAGCAACTCACCAAGAATCCTTCAACAGCACCTTCTAAACCTGCGACTCCTACCACCTAGGAGAAAAAGGGCAGCAGATACATGGAAACATCACTACCTGAACATTTCCCTCGAAGCCACACACCATCTTGACTTGGAATTATATCACCATTCCTTCAGTGTTGGTGGGTCAAAGTCCTGGAACTCTCTCCCTAACTGTACTTCTGCATTTTCATAACGCATGAACTGCAGCAGTTCAAGAAGGCATTTCCTATACCTTGTCCAGGGCAATTAGGGATGGCAATAAATACTGGCCTAGCCAACAACATAATTTCGGATACAAAATTTGGCTTGAACATAGAAGGCAGAGAGTGATGGTGGAGGCTGGTTTTTCAGATTGTGACCAATTATGTGCTGCAAGGTTTGGTGCTAGATCCACTGATTTTTGTCATTTTCATCAGTGATTTGAATGTGAATATAGAAGGAATAGTTAGTAACTTTGCAGATGACACCAAAATTGGTGAGGTAGTGGACAGTGAAGAAGGTTATCTTGAGTACAATGTGACCTTGATCCAATGGCCAATGGGCCGAGGAGTGGCAGATGGAGTTTAATTTAGATAAACATGAGGTGTTGCATTTTGATAAGGTAAATTCGGGCAGGACTTGTACACTTAATGGTAGCATCCTGGGGAGGGTTGCTGCACAAAGAGACGTTGGGGGTGCTGGTTCATATTTCCTTGAAGGTGGAGTCACAGGTAGACAGGATTGTGAAGTGGATATGGTGCCAATCAAGATTTGTCCTGGATGGTGTTAAGCCTCTTGAATACAAACAGAAATTGCTGGAAAAACTCAGCAGATCTGGCAGCATTTGTGGATAGAAAGCAGAGTTAACATTTCGGGTCCAATGACTCTTCTTCAGAAATTCCATCACATGCCTGCCATGTGCCTTATAGATATTGGGCTGGCTTTGGGAGTCAAGAGGTGGGTTAATGGCTGTAAGATTGTCAGGCTCTGGTGTAAAGTATTTATATGGCAGGTCCAGTTGAGTTTCTAGTCATTGGTGACTCTTAGCATTTGAATTGAGCAATGAGAAAAGTTAAACAGCTTGTGATTCCCACCTATCTGCAGCCTGCCATGATGCAGATCAACCTTAGTTCAGGAGTTCCAAAATCTTTCATTTTTATTTTGCAAATGTCAAATGAGCACCTCTGCATTTACTGAGATTAAGATGTCAGTCCACCTTTTAGCTTGCAATGGGGGACGATGAAGGGTCTAGGCCCGAAACGTCAGCCTTCCAGCTCCTATGATGCTGCTTGGCCTGCTGTGTTCATCCAGCTCTACACCTTGTTATCTCACTCCTCTGGAATCGGTTGTTTCTCCACAAGTGCATAAGGGGCTTGTTCTGAGGCCATAGCACCTTTGCAAGAAACATCCACATTCTGAAAACGAAGGTCAATTTTGTTTAGTAGAAATGTGTTCTTTTAACCTGCTCGCCTCTTTGTTGAAGCATTGATCACCTTTTTGGGCTTGGTGTCTCTTTTCTCCTGACTGCACTTAAAGGAAGTAGCTTGCGCGTCTTTTACCATGATAAAGGATTGCTGTTGTTGTTTCCCACCGCTCGCTGGACAATGTACATGCAGAGTTGTCAGGTTCAGCATTAGCTGTGGCTCGGGTGCACTCTCACGAGGTCACAAATTCAAAGTTTGCTGCGGAGGCTTGAGCAAAGAAGTTAGACCGACACTCAGTATGCAGCATTGAGGCAGTCCTGCACTGTTGGTGCTGCCACCTCTCAGGTGAGAGACCCTGTACTTTTGGTCGGGGGTCGGGGGAGGCGAGTGCGGTGAACGGGTGTGCAACAGAAAATACAATATCCGACAGCTCTAATTCAAAGAACAGCAAAGCGAGGTCTCTCCAGTTTCCTAATATCTATCGATCAACTGACACCAGTAACAAATAGGTAACAAATGGCCATTCCAACTCTTGATGGGATCTTGCTCTACACAGATTAGTCGTGCATTTACTACATTACAACAGTCACCAACACTTCTAAAATTTAATTCATTTGGTGCAAAGCCAATTTTCTGAAGTATTGAAAAATGCTGAAGAAGCATTTGCAGCTCTCAGTGATAGCTTTAGATATTTTTAGCCCAACAGTTTAGGGTTTTTATGATGTACCTCTGCAGCGGATGGAACTTGATCCTGGGTCTTCTG